GAAAGAAAAGAATGAAAGAAAGAAAGAAAGAAAGAAAGAAAGAAAGAAAGAAAGAAAGAAAGAAAGAAAGAAAGAAAGAAAGAAAGAGAGAGAAAGGAAGGAAGGCAGGCTATCTGCTCTATGATTTATGCCATTTTGTTTGAAATCAAGCCACTTTTTTACATGACAAAATGGGGACCAGGGACACATTATGCTTGAAGCTGCTTTGGTGTGTTATGTTTTTCCAATAGACAACAAGATCAATAGCTATTTACATTTTTAAGAGAAGCATTTATCCATGTACTACGAAAAACTGTGCGTGGTGAGCCCTTCTGAAGAGTGGGGAACCCTGGGCTGCTTCGCCTCTGGGTTTGACAGCGGATCCCATCCCCCAAGGCTCCCCCGGGTGTAGGGAACAGGAGCCTGGATTTATAGCATCCTCTCTGGGGTGTCAGGGCCAGCGGGGCAGCATACGATGTTTACTCAGATACCTGCAAGGACCCCCACTGGGCTGGTTCTCATCTTTTCTTGCCCAAGATATGTCAGAGCAAAGGTGCAAGCTCCAAAATAAAAGATGAGACACTCGCTGTCTCCCTCCCTCAATGTACTTACCAGTGGGAGCTGGAACAGCCTGTACTGCCCGGCTCCCGACTCCCCGGCTCCACCCCCATCTCTGGCCTGGCTCCCACCTCTGCCTCCTCTGAGGGAGGCCAGATGCAGGAGAAAGAGGGAGGCTCAGCCAGGCCAAGAGGCTGTCCTGACATGTTTATATTTACAGGAGGATGAAAACCAGAGACACAAAAAAACCTTTGGGGGCAGAGACAGAAAAGACAGTAGGAGGTTGTCCAGGCACCGGGGGTAGGAATGGAGCCATTTGGGGGGTAAGTGGGGATTTGATAGGAGGCTGCCACCCAAGTCACATGAGGGCCAGCCAGAGCTAGAGCTGTGGCTCCTTAGAAAGAGACTGAAAAAGAGGGACCCCGGTGATCAAAAGGCAGAGGGAGGAAGAGGAGGCAGAGGAGGAGTCAGCAGGGAGGTGGGAGGGAAACGAGGATGGTGGCCACAAAGGAGAGATTCAGGAAGAAGGCAGGCTGTGGAAACAGTAGAGTGAGTCCTTAGGAAGTTAAACCTAAAATTAGCCAGGCACAGTGGCTCACGCCCATAATCCCAGCACTTTGGGAGGCCGAGGCGGGTGAATCATGAGGTTAGGAGTTCAGGAGAGCAGCCTGGCCAAGATGGTGAAACCCTGTCTCTACTAAAAATACAGGCCGGGTGCGGTGGCTCAAGCCTGTAATCCCAGCACTCTGGGAGGCCGAGACGGGTGGATCACGAGGTCAGGAGATTGAGACCATCCTGGCGAACATGGTGAAACCCCATCTCTACTAAAAAAATACAAAAAACTAGCAGGGCGAGGTGGCGGGCGCCTGTAGTCCCAGCTACTCCGGAGGCTGAGGCAGGAGAATGGCGTGAACCCAGGAGGCGGAGCTTGCAGTGAGCTGAGATCCGGCCACTGCACTCCA